TTTATTTGAAAAAAAAAAAAAAAAACATGATTCTCTATATTCATATTTTTATCAGTGCTTCCAACCTTATCAACTTGTCTATGTTTACGTATATCGATATATATATATATATATATACACTTTTTTTTTCTCTTACCGGTGGTAACGACACTAGGCAGTACCCCAGTGGCAGTAACAGAGGGCGTGTCAGGTGCTACGGTATCGACTTGAGTTTGCGTTGGTCGTGGATCGTAGGCCGTCGTGCTGTCGACGTAATCCGCGCTGAGCTCGTAATTCGTTATCGCCTGATGATTGTAATAGCCCGAGGAGCCTGTACCGGGACCAGGAGACGCGTACTCGCTGCCGCCGTACGTGTAGCTGAAATGGCAAATAAGAAAGAAACATACAAATTAAAAGTATCGCATTCGCATATAACGTTTAATTAATTTATTTTTTTTTCTTTCTTTTTCTTTTCTTTCCTTGTCTCTCTAACGCAATCGAAAAGCCCAGAGAATCGGATCATCTGCTTTAGGCACCAGGAGACGACAAGTTTTTCGTGTCAGGATCGTCTTTCCTTGATCCGTACGGCAAATGGACCTCTACCGTGATGAGGCTTACAGTCATGAGATTTATCTTGTACTGACCCGCCGTTGTAGGAGTGATGCTGATCCGAACTGCTCGGGGTTTGGTGCTCGTAGACGCTGCTGTCCGGCGCCGTTTCGGATGCTGCCCTCATCTGCGCTCTATGAAATCTCACCTCGTCCTCCACCTTCTCCCGCTGCTTCTTCGACATCCGTCCAAACTTAACGGCTGTAACATTAACGGGATAGCCGAGCATTAGGCAAGCGCTTACGTACACGGACTGATATTAATTACGGGTACGCCGTTGTCTTATCTGGCGATAATTAGGCACACGATAAATATTAATGAGGGCGCGCACGTGTTGCGATTTACACCTTTAAGGTGGCTGCCTGTTAGGCACCAGTCGAGGTCACGTGTTACCATTAAAGGCTGCCGAAGCTTTCTCGCGGATCTCGAGGTCATCCGTGACCGATATGTGTATATATATATATATATATATATTGTATGAGCTCAGAGAGAATACCATCTCTGGTATCTCTGCATATGCTGACGACACAGTCATTATTCCTATGTGCCCCAAGACTCCAGAAAGGAGTAAAGACGGGCTGGCGACGTTGCCGATATCGAGGATATAAAGGGTGGCAAATAATACCAGTGATAATTAGGAAGAAAGGGGGATATGGCTGAGGACAGAGGAGCTCGCGCAATTAGTCGAGATAGAGAAGGGAGGCTGGATGATTTTCGGATTCTTTGAAACGACCAGACGACAAAGAGAGGTCTAACGACTTCGAATACAATCAAACCATCCGTAATCACTGGATATTAAATCTGCATGGCAAAGAACGTAGATCGCCGACTGGTCCGGGAACGGTGGATGCTGGGAAACAATTTTTAAGTCAGCGTACGACCATCCTAGCCGCAGGATGAGGTTGCTGATACCGGTGGGAGGGCGTTATGAACAATGGGATAAAAATTGGTGGAAAGAGGTGAAATTCCCGGAGGGTCGAGGAAATGCGAGGGAGAGGGAGAAGAGGGGGGGGGGGAAAGTAGAGCATTTAGAACGTCACGCTGCCAGAAGAGATCGTTAGGGGTAACAAAAAGCGTCGGGGGGCCGGAGCCGTCCATGCCACCTAGCGACAATATGCCGATTTTGAACGCGGTTTTATTTTGCAATAAAAAATAATAATAATCAATCAAATCTATGCCCTTTTCACGAATTCATCGTAGACGAACTTTGACCTCGCGTCCAACCCCTGCTCCGATTACGAAATCGTACTACTGATAACCACCGAGCCGAGGCCCGGCCAGCAGACCAACCTCCAGCTTTCCCATGAAGACACGAGTAAGAGCGTCCGAGAGGACCGTCAACCGACTTACCAAAGCCGCGCTGCTTAAATTCCTGAAACTTTAAGCAACCCCCCCCCCCCGGCTCTCCTGCCCCAAACTAAATACCATCAAACTAACAAACTTAAAGTCCCAATGAATATTCATAGAACAGAAGACAAGCCCTGCCAAACGCTTCTCGCAACAGCCCAAACGCGTCGATCGTGCCAGCGTACGTCGAAAGGTTAAAATAAAAAATCGTATCCCAAAATCCAATTCGATAAAACAACATAAACAGCGTTGGGCTCTGTTAAAGATCAAGGGGTGGTACGAAGAATTAACTTTTTGTCTTTCTCCTTCCTCCCCTATCCCCGTGTCGTCCCTCTCGCGCGGATCATCCCTACTTCGAAAAGAAAGCCAGGCGCATGCGCCGCGCGAGAACGCGGAAGCATAGTCCCTGGCTCGGTCGGTTAGGTTTGCCGCGTGACGTCACGGGACGCTTTACGTCACAATTCTGGCGAACCGCTAGCGCGCCCTCGGTATATATATATACACGTGCATAAGCACGTATGTATATATATATATATACAGAGAGGATGTTAACAGCGCGTCGAGCGAGAGGGAGAAGCACGTGACGTCAGACCAGCTGAACCGCTATGGGTATCGGTAGTGGGGGAACGCACAGGAGTGGGAACGGTTTACACGGCGGAAGGAGGAGCGGGACGGGGTTAGGGGAAGGGAGGGGAGGGACGACGTTGCATAGACGGGGAACGGTGGGAACAGGCGTGACAGGGAACGAGAAACGCGAAGGGTGATCGACCGAGTAGCAAGAGAGACGCCACCAGGAAGAACACGCGCCCGTCTTGCCTTGGTCTCTCCTATGCATTTTCTGGCCACTATATATAGGCGACACCGTACAGGAGGCTCTTATCACCGAGAACACCTCTGTATAGCCTGATAAACGACGCGCGTTGGCCGGTCGAATTTTTTTGAATGAGACGACCGAAATAGATAATCTCGAACAAAAATACACCGCGTCGCGGACGATTGTCGTTGTTTGTCAGCGACGTCTTTACGCGAGCCGAATATGGGAGAGGAGGGGAAGGAAGGGCCGTCCCCCCCACCCCAGCCGGTAAAAAATTATCCTTGACCGAAGAAAAAAAAATTTTTTTTTTTTTTTTAATTTCTTCTCCTTCACTATTTTTGAAACGGAAAAGCGAGAGGGTCTGGGTAAGTGACATGTTTTTACGAACAGGCAATTTTTTTACAGGTGCACAGAAATACGGATGCACTGTGAGAACTTCCGCGTGCTCGTACGACTCCGAGCTATAGGGTGATCGATATTTGCATGATGATTGATATGCTATATTTGACATAGAAAATGGGACAAATGAAAACAGACGTTTTCTATATTTAGCAATGCAATATTTGTTGCATGTGATATTCGTTTTATCGTTATGAATGTACGCTACTGTATACGGCGTGTACTGTTATACGAAAACGTAATAGCCGTGTGACATACGAACGTGCATTAAAAAAAAGAAAAGTACCGCTACGCGAATACATTGTGACGTAGGCGAAAATATAGGTCGCGAGAAGTCCCTCCACGAGTACAGGACGGGCGTTCTTTTTTAAAGATCGGGAATGACCTACGGGAAGCGTAAAAAAAATCGACGTTATTGACTGGCTATGCAAGTGACTATGCAATTTCCAATATTTCTCCTGTTAGCAGGAAAGACGAAAGTATCCTGAATCGAAGGCCTGGAAAAATAATTAAAAAAAAAAATATATCCGTGCGGGGTACAATCGGCATAGAAAAAGATGGCGTGACGAAAAATAAATTTTTTACGTCAATAACACTTCTTTGTTGGTTACGACGAATTTGCCTTGTACGAAATTTTAAACAATCGCCGTATGAAAGGTCCTGTAGCCTATACGTATAACATGGTCTTGCCTGCGTATAAGCGCTAAGGCACTAAAAACGCGCGAGCGATCGTAACAGAGTTTGATAAGCCAGCGAAGGGTGGGAGTCGTAGGAGAAGTCGATTCCGATAAGGGGTCATGCACCCCAAGTAGTACGCGTGCCACGACTAATGTCACTTACGTATATAAGCAGCAGCACCGATTCGAAAATATTTTCAATATGCGGTAGAGATACAACATAACCTGTAAGTTCTTTCGTAAGATTGATCCCATGCAGGTGAATATACGGATAGATAAAAAAAAGAACATGTTGTTATCGGATTACATAATCTTTCTTTTTTATCATCTATAAATCATCTCGTTTGGTCTTGAAACGCGAGTACTCGCCGTTACTTTAGTCAGTGCGTGAAGTTAGATTCTTTATATGTAGAATTAAAAAGACTGCACTCCGTTTGTGCTTACCAGTACCGTAAGAGTCATCTCCACGTGTCTAATGGCTTTTGAGAAAATGGAAAAATAAAAAAAAAAAACATCACTAGTCCAGTTTGTTTTTTTTTTTTACGAAATCCGAAATTAAAAAAAAAATATTTTATTGTACTAAATTTGTACCGCACAGCAAATTGTAACATCTACAAAAACGATCGAGATAAATGCGAATTACATCCTTTAAGGTCAATGTAAAATCGAATTTTCCGCTTTGTACCGTTGAAAATCAAGTGCTTTGCTGTAACGAAGCTGCAACCGTAACTACGTAATACTGTTCCAATTTGCTTATAGAAATTAATCTTCACAATGAAATCATCCAATTGAAGAGTCTTCCATTAAATATTATTGTGGCCGGTGGACCGTACGTCATAGTCGGATTGATTGGATATCATGGAGGAAAATGAAGACATGCGGTTGGTAATTACACAGGCTATGAAAAATGTATGCGACAATGAAAGGAATATGACGAACTATTAATAAAACCAAGAACCGTTTCAGACTACCGCCATGTAAATCCTATGCGCATACATAAAAAGTGATGGTCAGTAAAATTGACAACCGCGAAAGCAATTCGATGAAACATTGATAAGCGAACTTGTGTAGCGATAAGAGAGAAACATAAAAGCCGTGAATATAGTTAAAAGTAATTAAGAAATTTTTCGGATTAATTTTTAAGAATGAACAAATATTAAAACCTCGTCATTGTACCATATATAGTTCAAAATAAAATATAAATATTGTAAATAATAAAATTATTTTTTTTTTCAAAATCAAAAAAAGTCTTCAAATCAAATTTTAGATTAGAACCACGATACTGACCCTAATAAAATATAAAATGTAAATACTGCATATAGTACCAAAAATATGTTCAAGATACAAGAGAAACGTTTAAACAATTGTGTAAAAAAAGGGTTAATAAAGGAAAATTGTAAATTAGTATAAATAATTTAAGTATTGTAAATGTTATACCCTCATAGAAATTTCCCAGTCGTTCCCTTGAATGATAAAAAGGCTCTGGCGGAACCTAATCTAGGCATACCCAATAATGAAAACTTAACTAATATTTGCCGTGGCCTGCACAAGTTCGCTAAACCCCTAAACTACGTCAGGATTCCCAACAATGAAAATTTATCTGGTCCCGAATTAGGCAGCTCGCCTGGATGTAAATCTAAGTTCAGTTCAGACAATTTTCACGTTCCAGTGACAATTTTCTGATAGTACCTCATCAGCTGTCAGGACAGAATTAGCGTCTTCTAATCTGCCACGAGAGTCATAAAATATAAAAAAAAAAGAAGATTCAATAATAAATAATTATTGACTTGTACTCCGTAGTACAATAAACAAGATAGCCAATACAAGTCGCTAAATTACTTGGAGAGTCGATTTTCGACTGTGCAAAGCAGAAAACTCAATTTTCCATTGACCTTAAAGAACGCATTAATTTCCATCGTTTTTGCCAAAATTAAAATATACTCTGCGACACAAGAATTTACAAAATTAGGTACAATAAAATTATTTTTTTTTTTCAAATATTGGATTTAAAAAAACTGGGTATCCACAGCTCACGGTTTCACGTGTGAACGAAGCTTTACGTCATTCGTAACCAGTAGCCGCGATCAGCCGACGATCCACGAGTGCACTTCAATCCGTCTCCGGTAACGACGTTAAATATTTCGGCGATTATCGTGCACGACGACGTTAATCATCGTAGAGTGAGAGTACGCCTTTACATTATAAAATTTCGGATATCGGGTCTGGCTCGAAATATTTAATAAAAAAATACGACACGTACGCATCGAGTATTCGTCACATACGGCCGTTCATAAGATATTTGAATCGAAACACAGGTACAAGTGATGCCTAGAGTAAGGAGTCTCGGCGGGCCGTGCCCCGTACGGCGAAACGAAACGTCGCCTGTACTTGGCGCGAGACTCGACCGAGTCTCTTGATCGTTCCGGAATCATTTTAATCGTCGCTCGTCGCCCAGCGCGCGAACGTTTAAATATTTGCGATCGGTCAGCAATGTGAAGAATCGCGCCGAAACTATAGATTATCATTATCTGGTATTATTCTTTGATAAATACACTGTATCTTTGCACTCGGCACATTAAACAAGGTAAAAAGAGCTTGGTCATGTTCGAGAGACTAGAAGAAATATTTTGTTCCCCGATGACGTCATACGCATCGTGATATAAAAATCGGAAGGAATCGAGGATAAAAAAAAAAAGAGAATTCCTAATCGTGGACTTAATCGCGTGAATTTTAATTTGGGACTAAAGATGTGCCAGCCTCGCTATATATATATATATATGTATATATTAATATACACAGTGTCAATTTAACCCAAGTATACGTATATAACGACGCGTTAAGAATTTTCCTAAAATATGTTTTTTTTCCTTCTCTTTTTTTCCTTCCTCTTTCTCTTTTCAAAAGTTTCCACGAATTTCGTAGCCAATGAGTTTCTCGGAAAGCGAACGTCAACCACACACGTGATTTATCTTACACCAACACACGTCAATTTGTACCGGGGTCACCACGCTTTATGAGTTCAATTCATGTGAGGTCCATTACTGGACTGCGAAAGACCGCCAGAATCTTTCGCTCTCGCCCTTTGCAGCCACAGACTGCGCAGTGGTTCTCAGTCTCGACTTGAAAAACGCGACGTCAGCGGTGCTCAACCACACAGTTCCATGATAACCATTAGGTTTCCTGCTTCGATAAGGTCAATCGGTTGGGGTCGAAAATTTTTTTTTTTTTTTCAAAAACTCACCATCTCTGGACATGCCGAGTCGTAGGCACTTTTGCAGCCGACAGTACTGACATCGGTTTCTGTTTACGCGATCGACCACGCAATTCTTGTTTCGCGGACATTGGTAGTTCACAACGGACGACTGGGACCTCCTGAAGAATCCTTTGCATCCCTCGCAGGTGATAACCCCGTAATGGACGCCGCTGCTCTTGTCGCCGCAAACTTTGCACGGGATTATCTCGATCTGGGCTGTAATGAAAGTGAGAAAAAATTTTCATTGGATTAACGAGGGTACGATAATACAGACCCACATATATATACAGTATTGTTCACGGGAAACGCACCAGCTGAAATTGATGACAAACAGCTATTTCCATGAATCATAGCAGCGTGATAACGAAAAAAAGAAAGAAAGCGAATTAACGCGATAACATTATTAAAATCAGGAGCTTCGCAATCTTCCATATGTTTAACAAGGTTAAACAAATGCCTGGATTAACGAAATTTTTGAATCGCGCCCAACCTGGTACGTTTTCCGTGAACAACCCTTGTATACAGATATAGATAAAATAAATAGATCAATATCGAACAATCAAAATCTCATAATCCGGCATATACGCTGCAATCGATAATTGGAATTCAATGTCGAAAATACATCTCATAGCTCTCTGCATTACCGACAGAGCCAAAGCCACCAATAAAAAGTCCATTCTCGTTCGATAGCCAATAACGGAACGTGTCAATGATCTCATATAAAAGTATCTAATTTATCCCAAACTGTCTTAACGAGCCACCCCGTACATGGATTCTTCACGTAACAGTCTCCTGCTACGATAATGCTGCCGAGCCCTGGAATGCCGGTGAGTCGAGTACGATAGGTCACTTCCCATGCGTGAATTACAATCTTTTCGCGGAACCAATGAACATCGGCATATTATACGTACACGTAATCAGCAGTGGGGATGCTATTATGGTACACGTGACTCTTATCATGGTAACGTGAATGGACGGAACAGGGAAGCGCAGCAGGTGAAGCAGAAAGGTATACAAGAAAACCCGTTACCAAATTTCTTATAAGATTCGACGGAATCCAGTGTCTCAATGTGCGTTCACAAAGAAATGCGTGGAGCGATGGAAAAATAATTTGACTTATTTTCAAACTCACGTCGTTGTCCCTACCGAAGACTACTAACTCGGAGCACTGCTTATCAAAGCCGTAAGGCCGTATTCGCAAGGCGACGGCAAACCGCGAAAATTATCTCACTGAATTTGCCCCTTATCGGTGCTTGTGAGACGAACTTAATTCGGATACGACTTTGGAGTATCGTCTTAATATGGATTTAGATTACGTTATGAAAGCACCTTGTGTATATATATATATATGTAAATTCAGACAGCACGAGGAGGTACGTCACAGTAACAAAGGAATAGAATAGGGGATACGTACAAGTGCGAAAAAATCATGGTATACGTATGTACGTGCATCAGTCACGAGAGTGACGCGTGAACCATATGAGGGTTCGTGTTATGAGATTTTTGAAAAAAATTTTTATTCATGACTTGAAGAGGTGAGAATTGTTGCATTAATTGAAAATGGCGTGATTGTTGTTTTTCATATTTTTTTTAACAGCGGCTGATTTTTCTTCATTTTTTTTTTTTTTGATTGTTTTGTCTACCTCGTATGGAATTGGCTTGTACTCGACGATCATCCAGAATGGTGTTGCTGGGACTTCCGGTTTGATTTGACGGTCCTGTTCTCGCTTCCGGCGGTTGAGGGCTGGTGCTATCTGCGCCCCAAGTAGGCCCACCGAACACTGACAGATTTCCCTCCATTTACGTACTATCACGATATCATCTCCTTGGCACCAATGTTTTATCCTGTGATTTACGTCATACGGCATATTAGGCCATTCAAAGTTTCGAGCCCGTACGATTTCGTTCACTTTGGCTCGCTTAATTTTCCAAACTTTTATTTCTTGCTTTCGATAACAATGCCCGCACTCGTCGCAGAGTTCGAATTAAAAAATTTGTGTTAACGGAAGAAAAAAAAGAAAGGGCCAAAATTTCTCGACACGGTGCGAGAATAAACGAAAATTTATATTTCAAGCGACCGGTCACTGTTTATCGCGAGATCGGGGATAATCTGTGAAAAAAATGTTGACAAACGACAAGAGCAATAAATTGTTCCGTATTGTTAGGAGGGAAGAATTTTTTATGAAAAAAATAATATTTTTTATTGCTACTCTCGTTCGTTACTCTTTGTTAATCAAGGCAATTTCTTTAGATACTCGAGTCTACGATTTTGAAAATATAGTCAGAGAGAAATACATGGTGTTATATGCGAAAACTTTACGCTTATCCGCTCGATTAAACTTTACGGTTACTTGAGGTTACTCGGATATATGTGAATGATCGTGAATTCATGTGGAATCCGGAAAACGACTCGGCCACATCCGCAAGATACGATAGGGAAGTTGAAGAAAGATGGAGATTCTCCTAAGAATAAAATATCGTCGTCAGCCCTTAGACTCGCAAAGGGGAGCATGAAAAGTTAACGGACGATATGTAAGCGCACCCTAAAGATTTTGTTTACGTGTACGGTAACTAGAAAGAAAAGTTAAAAAAAAAATGGATACAAGTTCAAAACTTCATTTTCGAAATTTCCAGCCTCAGAAACTTTTTATTTCTCATACGTTTCAATAAGAACACCCGGTACCCGTGTTTATAAGTATTCTCAAGGAATGCATAGAGATAAAGGGAGAATTAAAAGAAAAAACAATATTGAGATTCCTATGAGATAAAAGAAAGATGGCCTCCTTGAGGTACCTACTGCAGGAATAGGCGTGGTATTGTCCGTGCTTGACGATGCATTGTTAAATGAACGTATCCACTAAGGAGGTCTTGGGTCTATTGTTAAACATTATAGTCCAGGGACTCTAGCAGGTATATAGTATCACGACGCCAACTAGATATTGCGACCTTACTGTTCTGACAGAAACATTTTTTTCGGTTTGATTACGCGATCTTTGAAAAAGTCTTCGTAAGACTTTACGCTTTGTAGGATTTACACGTCGAGGTTGTTTGACGCGAGAAAGGAAAAAAAAAGAGTGAGAAAAAAGTAAATGGAAAATTTGGTGGAATTTTCAGTTTCCTCTTTACCGAAGCCAAAGACGCTTTGTCGTGAGTATCGTGTGTTGTGGGACACTAGCGCCGCTGGTAGCGTTGAGGCGCTTGCACCATATAGTCAAACATTACATAACCGAGAACGATGAACCCAGAGTACAGTCACCTAACACGCTTGCATCTTTAACGTATAAAGCGTCACGGAGCAGTGCGGCTGCAGAGAAAATTTTCAAAATACAAATCTATGTATATAAAAGCGAGAGGGTGATTTTTTTCAAAATTATATCGAATACTTCTTTCAGCCAACTTTTATTTCAGATCCTATAATCAGTCATGCCGCTTGGTACGAGCAGTGGAAGTTTTACTTTTTTGTTATTTCAAATGACTGAAAAGCAAAATTTTTTAATATTCAAATCCAAGACATTATATATGTCACGTGGTGCGTGTAAACGTGCGCTTAACACGAGAATACTTTTGTTCATTAATTTTCGTAATGTTGCTTTAATATTTTTTTTAATCGGTATGCGACTTGTCGAAAAAAATTTATTTATAAGACTGTATTACCTAATACGTGTTTTGTCGAAATCATAGGTATTACGTGAAATATGTCTTCGACGTTTTAACTGTTATGATACAATGGACACCAAACTTCTACTTGCTTTCTTTTTCCTTAGCTTCTCTCCTTCGTTAATTATCTTGCTACGGCTGTGCACTTCGTGATTTAAATCCGTCGAAATCCTTTTGTAATTTTAGGTTATCGGCTAACTTCTCTCTTGACTCATACAATATCTTGGATTAAAAGAGGATTAATAACTATCAAGACTTTCAAGCATAAAAGTATCACCAAAATATTCCTGTATCCTCCTGTAACGACACGTGTGAACGTTAACGTATAATATATTTCAATATGTTGTTATAAACGAAAAAGAAATTCTGTAAATACAGCCAAAAATATTCCTTAAGGAATATTCACAGTAACCGTGTCTACATAAAACACACATGGATGTTCTGTATATGTGCAAGAACAAAAGCAATCAATAGATCAATCGTAAACGTCAATAATATTGTCTGGCCCTTACAAATTCAAAATATATTGTCTGCGATAAACAAACAAAGGATCCATTCATCGATCTATTCCTATTTAAAAAAAAAGAGAAAAAAAAATTCTATTCAATTCACGTAACCGAAAAATTACACGGAAAAACAAATTCTCATATTTCTTCCAGAAGTCCTGATCGAAGTATCGACTGTGCGAAGTATAATATAACGAGGACGTGTAAATATCGTCACGGAAACGAATGTATACTTCCACTTTTCGTAAGTAGGCACCGACGAGAGCGTGGACCAGGACGATAATAAATTTATAGAATCAAAGAAACACAAAAATCACTAGACGTATTGAAGCTCTGTGCATTTCTCTCTTTCTCTCTCTCTCTCTCACTATCACTCTATATATATTTCGTCATTTTCTTCAAAGTGTCACAAAACAAAACCCCATCCTCGAGCACGAGCTCGCATTCGCAAAGTGCGTCGTGGAGTATTTTTACAAGGGATTCCTCGTGTTGCGTGGAGTAGGCCGAGGCCGGATTCAGGGCGGGTCGTCTCCGTGGAGGTGATACAGAGAGACGAGACTCCCGGTCGAGCGACCAAAAGAAGTTTTTCAGCGAATAACGGAATTAGGCGTTGTCGCCGTTAGTAACAAGCCATCGGGAGTTTTTAGTCCGAGTTTTTGCCGAAGTCACGTAATTTCAAGACGATTTTTCACCAGAACACATCCGTTCACGGATCCCATAGGACAGGCGCACTTTGTTTCAGTAAAATTAAAACCACCGACACGTGCGTGTACATATGCACAGACGCGATCACCTTATGTTATCTTATGACGATTATTCCATCCACTGTACACTAGGTTCACGAAGATGCCACAAAGATGACGCTGATGACGATAGCAACAGGGGTTGACGAAATAACACGAAGGAGGAGACACTTGCACGTTACACCGGGCGTCTGTCCACTTCGATAAAACGCACTCGGCACCGAGACGCCCTAAACCAGGGAACGAGATACGACGTAGAGACGACGAACTTCTCACGGCACACACTACGGACACGAGTTCCTCGCTTAAGAATTCGGGAATTGATCTCAAGACGGACAGGTACACCCGCGACGGATAAAACAAGCGGGGACTGCAGGTCGGTCCCCCCGAGTGGGTAACCGGCAGCCGATACGACGCGCGCCCCGGAAAAACGCGTGGAAAGCCTCGAGAAGCATGAATTTTTTGGGGTTTGGTGAACCGAGAGAGGTTTTCGGGGACCAGCGGAGCAGCCTGGCATCTCACAATATGTCAGAACCCCCACCACACGACCGCACTGTAGCAGGTCACTGAACTGTGCGCCTCCGCCGATGATGGCCGAGTGCCTATCCCCACCAGAACTAAAACCTATCGCGCCCCCACCTGGCGGACAAGAAACACGAGCGTTCCCGAGCTTGGCCGAACCGTTACGAACGCGTACGCGCGCTTTCCGACGTGTCGCACTCGAAAGTCTACGAAGCGTTAGATTGCTCTGCTGGTTTTAGTTTTGCTTTGCAACGTCGGGAGCCTTTGTTATTGCCCGAGTGAATTTAATTACCTCTTTTAGATTGAAAAATGACCCAACCGTTTTTCTCTTATCGCTTACGTGGCTACGGGCCTATGCATTGAGGTTGGGTGTGCATGATGGCTACACAGGATTGACGGCGAGACTTGTGGCGCGTTCACAGGGGCGACGCCCAGCGCCTGCGTTGCGAACCAGGGCGACGCACGTGCCTGTCTGTTCGGCGGGATCGTGAAACGGAATTGTTCGCGGTGGAGTATGTGACGGTGGTGGGACGGCGGAGCGAAGGAGGATTAATGGACGGTGGTGGAAAGGCGTCCCGAGGAATGATGGAGGATAGGACGCCTGCGGCGTCGTATGCAAACAATGCTATCGATAAAGACGGGTAAGTGTGTGGCGCAGTGACACGCGCATCTACGACGATGCAACTTCCCCTCGTTTTACGTTGGTCGCGACGCACTTTGAACGGCGACACGTTTCACGCGAGATCGTTAAACGAATCCCGTATTGCCGCTGGAACGAAAATAGACGGTTTACGCTATTTCTCGCGATACATCAGCTTCCTCCTTGCGGAAGTGCATACGGGTATATGGTTTTACATGCGTCTACGTAACGCGTATACGTGTGACGGATCGAAAAAGACATTCAGAGGCAATGACCATTTCATATGGAATTCTCGTGTCACATTTTTGTTACGTTATTTAAATTTTTTATTTTCTATTTTCACGCGGAATACTTCCACCGCCTCACTGCTTTCCGTGACTATGGGTCGACGTACTTATGCCCGCTGAATGAAACTGTACGTGAAATTCGAATTCCGCCGATTTCTCACTTTGTCGAGCCACAGGAAGTGAAGTAGCTAGAAAACCCGCGACTTCCGAACATGATGGCGTCGCGAGGCCCAACCGATTACACGGAAGGGAACGTGATTGTGCGGCAAATAGAATAATTGGAAATTGATTAATTGACCGAAGAAGTATACCTATTGCATACATACATACACAGAAACATAGTGATCGGTTAGTAATCGTTAAATTTTCATAGCCGATATTTCCTGGCTGGTTTTCATCGATACTCTTACCGTGCACTGATTGGTCCATCTATATGACGCAATTGCATCAACATAGATATACAATAGAATGAACGTTCGCAATATTTCCATCTCTGTTACAGAGCAATGATACTATTGATAACGTTTCTGTTATTTACCGATAACGACGTTAATCTCAAACTAAACACGGAGCGTCTCGATGCCGCGCGTCGATGCAATTTGCGTCCTTCATTTCCACGCGGCGCAACGTCCCGCCGAATAATAATTTCCGTTTATTGCACGGCTCCGTAAGTTCTCGCGCTAATAGCCAGGCCCTATAACTATTCGCAAGCATTGCCATTTCCGTGAGCACATGCGAATCGGATAATTGCACATGGCTCCCAGCTACATCCAATTCGTGCTTCCTCTTTTATGTTAACTATATGAAACGGAAAACTTTACTCGTAACGTTCGGCCGGCCATTAGTAACTACATTCCGAGTATAGCATGTAACCTATGATAGTTGTGGTCAAGATAATTAAAATGATTAACATATAAATTTTCTACATATTCAAAAGTTACATATAAAACTAAATACATATATAGACATTTTTTTATTTTGTATTTAATTTTTCTCTCTTTTTTCCTTCCTTATCCTAATATATTTTTTATTCTCTCTTTCTCTCTCTCTCTCTCTCCTTTACCACCGTCCGGACCTTCTCAGCCAGCTTCTCGCATGTTGCATAACCGGCCACGAGGTTGCCAACCTGCAGGACGTAATACTCTATAAATACCAGAAGAAATAAATAATTGTGCAGCTGAGTATCCTGGTGTATTCAGTGTAAAGTAACTATATGGTCACCCTAGGGATATTCCCCAGATAGTTACAAAATCCATTGTCGAATAAGAATTTTATATTGAAAATATGATTTTAAAAAATTATCTCACGCGACACGATATATCTGCCGAGTCCATTAGTAGACGTTAAACAGGTACGTATAAAGCCAATCAAGATGGGCGTGAAAAAATTTAACGGGTGACTAGGAAAAAAAAATCTGATTATAAAATCAGACACGTTATTCCTATTACGGTGTACGAACGATACGTCATGCAATAGGAAAGTATATTTGAATGAGGTCAATACGAAAAATGCTAATACATTTCGAGCTACTACACTATAAAAGCCATAACGAAACGAGTGCATCTACTCCTGAGTCACAGGTTACTATTACGGATGACTGGTTTACTTATCAATGATTGCTCGCGAAAAAAATTCGCATAACGAAATGCAATAGCGCGTATAAATCATCGAACCGGGAGTGTCGTCAAGTATCTCCCGCGCCCGAGAGAGACGCCTGGCGTCGTTCGTAGCGACCGACGCTCGTTTCTATGTTGGTAAACAAACTCTCCCATTCTAAAGATATCTTCGTAGTATCCTTGGGACACTCGTAATATCCTTGTCCTGATTGATCGGTCGGCCGGCGAAAAAGAGTGACTGGTTGATTGAAAAAGTAAATAAATAAAAAGACGTCGCGACGTCCTGTAATTATTTTCATTGCACGCAGACGCTTCAAGTGATACAAATTTTAATTGTCACTCCGAAAGGACACTGCAAGCCGATAACACGACGATCAGGATACCGAAGGAATTTTTGGCTTATCTTTTACGACCATTTGTTTTATCCACTGCTGCGGAGACGTTATGTTGATATACGTAGTCGCTATAGATATCGTCCGTGTCGTTCTAATGCAATCGGCACGATTTATGCGTACGATTTTGCGCAGTCCCACAGAAAAGGCGATGTCACTAGATAGCTTGCCGATATTACACGAATATTTATGTACGTAGACACGTTCTACGTTAGCACCTATGTCCGCCATTACGTCCTCTATGGAGTCTCAGACGTCCCACGAGGAAAGCGTTATACGCTTCTACCGTAGCTACGCGCCCGCCATCTGTGCGAAATCGTACTGAACCTCAGTCTGAACTTTGGCGAGTCTCCCGAAGGAGAAGCGGCCATTCGGCTGTGAGACGCCGAAGGTTACGGACGGGTGTTAGAGAAGACGTATTTTTATTTCAATAGCAAATAACTTTTGACTATTACAGATGCACTATGATACCCTTTGTTTGAAGTATAGAAAATATTCCAAATAGACAAATTAGATGCCGTTTAAAGGTAGAGGCTGTCTTGCTTTTTTGTTAATTGCACCCTTACGCTACCCCTAACAAATGGTCATCGCTCTTGATAATGTATAATAACACGGCCACAGTACTCCCTAATGTAGTTTCGCGAGTAAAATGGAAATACGTAATTGAATTAGGGGTGGAACTTGATAAAAGGGATGCTGGAGGTGTCTGTTTTTATTTTCTTGGTCTTTGTATGTCTGTAGTATCTATAGGTATGCATAATGAGAAAGCCAAGAAAGTTCTTAGGCAGTGTCTCGTAGTACGATATGTAGATGTACAGTCTGTATAAAAATATGAAAAAATTATATATGAGTTCGTACACCTAATTAGGATTGCGTAACGATGCGGCTGACAGAAGGGGTGTACTGGTTGCCATAATAAATAATAATTTAACCCAGAGGGTCCACAGGGTGCGGCATAGTCGTGAGTGAAAATCGAAGCTATTAAACTACACCCTAAGAAGTTCCTGATGGGAGGATTAGTTTTCGTAAAATTAAATGCCCGCCACCCCAGAGTATCAGTTTCAATGGTATCCAGGTGAATGCGCATACACAATAAAAACTTGTGGCAAACTGGTAAAAGGGGGTTGTGCAAGAATCTCCCTAAGTGGACTGGAATAAAATATAAAGAGCGTAGAAACTCCAGTCACGTGGTCGTTGAGAGAGTTTGGCGCCAATTTCAAATTAACGAGATAAGAGGGGATGGTTTGCGCAGACTGGCGTTACCTATATACAGAGGGATTCCCTTTCACCCTTATGACTAAACTTCCTCAGGGATATCCTTGGGAAGAATTTACTCCGGCGAGGAAGTGACGCAAAGACGCCGAGGTTGGGCGAACGCACGAATTGCACTCGGTAAATCCAGCTAGAATAGATATCGCCCATTGCTCCCTCTTAAATCTTGCAGAACGAACGGATGGGGGAGTGTTGTGAATCGCAGTGCGAATGTGGGTCAGACTGGAAAATAGCCAGTGCCACGTAGGTGAGTTCACGTAGCTGTAAAGTCGATCGCGGGGCATTGGTGTTAGATTTATCCATACATATTTGAGATTATATATAAATATATACATACGAACGTCAGTACGCTAGTTGTTGAGCGAACGAGGATTTTGCACGAAGAAGTAACAATGCCAGAGGAGAAATATGCCTACTGCTAATGTTTTTGAGAAAACGAGAAAAAAAAATAATTTATTTTCACTGGTTTACGTATCAGTATTATTGCACGCGTTGTAGATAGCCCTGTTATAATGGTATAGGAAAAAAGTATGGGTTAAGATAGTTAAAAATGTATCCGCTAGCCGTTAGTGGCGCCACTGGTTACCTAGGAAGGTACCGAAGAAAAAGTTGTGTGGCGTCTCAGTACGTTTTTCTTTGGCTGTACGGAGGGAGCGATAAAAATTGCACAAGAAGTCGACCCCCCACGTAATTCGAAATGCAAACAACCCCAGGTATGCCGTGTGCAACTCAAATGAGCCCGAGCGCTCTAGACAAGAATGACCGTTACAGTTTCCTTAAGCGAAACTGTGTGGCAACGATTGCGACATCGTATCACGGCACCAGGTAGAAACGATCGTCCTGCTCCGATGCCAAGCTCGTTAGGAATCCGAAAAGATTCTCGAATTTGGGCCGCGGTACGCGAATAGCTTGAATCTTAAGTGAGCCGACTGTATGTCTTCCGCCTGGTTTCGATCTTATTCAATCTTCCACGGTTAGATATCTCTAACGATACGTTTAAGTATTAGGGCCGTTAAGCGGCAGACGCTGTTCAGAGGTTATAACAATCCGTAAGGCAGCGACAAAACACAGGGGCACAATGGATACGCGTATTAATAGATAAATGTAAAAGCATAGTTGGAGATCCCATAGGAGGAAATCTGAACGTAGTATTCACACAGAGATATTGAAATATTTCACGGTATTTAAATAAGTTTCAATCGCAACGGTTTTTCGAAATTGAATAGGGATACGTTACAGTCACGCCTACTGCTAAGCTTCCTCCTCCGTTACGTTCCCGTTTGAAGCTTTCATCGTATAGAGGCAGTCCGTACGAATTCCACGGTATAATGGAGCCAAGTAAACGTGGATGCAAGGTGCAAGCCCGAAGCTTCGCGTGAAAAGCCAACGTTTTTCCGGCGGTCAATACGAAGCTGGCGCTGCCGACGGAAGGTTAGTAACTTCGACGGTGAACGACCGAGACATCTGCGCATGCGCCGGTACGCCGCTGACCCAGATGCTCAACGTGATTGCCGCTCGGGACTTTACGCCGATCTTCGTGCATTCCCGTACGGCGCGGGCGCCTCATGACTGACCCACATCGCATCGCGCCACTTGCGATCCGCCGTCAGAGCGCGTCGTACCGTGAATATTTCGACAGGATGCCGCGATTTTATTTGGTTTGTCTTTTACATCCACGGTAACATATTTAATTTCTATTGTCATTTCAAATTCAAACTTACACGAGGATCGCTCGTGGCTTCTCCGTACGTCTCTGTATCTTACGTAATAATCGTTTCGTTGATTTCTACCGTATAATGTCACGTATACGCGGAGCGGGTTTACATAAAGTTTTGGCAGGATTGGATTAACGTGATTGTAGGACACGGGTACAGTCGCCAATGGAGTTTCGCGAATTTCCATACCCAGTATCTTGGGGGGTCTCTGTCGTAACGGTTGATTGCTCGTAAACCCGAAGACACGTAAATGCACGGGATATACAGATATCGTCGTATAGGTTAGGTTACGGCAGTCTGCTGTATCATAGCGTGTTTGATGAAACTGCCATTAAAAATTATATTACCCGTAACGGTTGCATCGGTAATTTAATTTTGTCATGGAGTAAAGTGGGAGAGATGCGCGCGCATCCATACTGAAACAATACGAAATCGCAAATGGCGTTGATTTCGTGCTGGTAAAGAGTTTGAAAAATGACAAATTAATATATATATATGTCTGGGTAACGAGCAAACGTTACGTTACGCAATCGCATGGGAAATCTCATATGATCCAATGGAATTCGTAACGTAATTACGGCGTAATCACGCAATCAGAGTCTCTTTGTCTCGTGAGCGTCTTTTTCGTATTACCCAATAGCGTAATCTTTTTCAACAGTATATTGTGACGCGTATCTTCTTCCAATTTTTTTTTTTTCACTTCCTTTCACATCTTATCTCCTTCCCACCCTTTTACGCTCGCGTACTGTTTTACAGCTCATCGAAAAGCTTTTCGTCCACCTTGAATAAACGTCGAGCTCGTGTAAACAGACGGAGAAATCACAAATAAAATTTCGAAATCAGCATGGCGCACCTTATTTCCAGTAACGCACAAGTTTACCTGCCTCACGCTTTAGCATCCGCCTTTATACGTCATTTGCAATTTCGCAACCCCTTTGCCAGGTTGCTGAAGCTGAAACCGAGTTTACAAATAAGCGCGAAGTACGCGTTAAGGGTAGAAATCCTGAAAGAAGGAAAATTGTCCGACGTAAGAGAAATAATTTTCATAAAAAAAAAAAGACACCTCGCGTCTATCGTGACGCAATGCATTTCTCAGAATTATTCATTATATTAATTTTTTTTTAAATTCGTCACCGGACTCATATCTCCTCATTCCAGTAATTAATTTTTTTTTATAAAAAAAAATTTATTAACCTCATTTTCACGAACCGAAAGATACCTCGTTACGCATCGGCTTCCTGGATTACAAGTTCCCGGATCGTCCAACAGTTTGACATCCGCATACGGAGATTGGTTTCCGAATGCCAAATCGTGTGTGGTGAAATTTAGAAAGCACGCCCGCATCGACGCCATCGTCTGTCCGCCGGACGCAATTGCGTGGCGACTCGTGCGTATAAAAGTCATTCGTGATTTGTGCCTGCATCGGTGTACGTATGCGTATTACGTAGTCATGACAGGAGCGGAATTGTTTTGGACGGAATTGCCTTTCGAGAAGTTTCTTTACGGTGGATTAATCTAGATATATCATATGTATAACCCATATATATATATATGATAAGTATACGTAAAATCTAGATCGGTCTGGATGACGTCCCAGATTCGTCAGATGACGAAGAGATGATACTCTGGATGCGGGGAACTCTAGCGGACAGTTCTCCACGCTTTGAAACAACTTATGCCAATGAATATGATGATAATGGACGCCTTACTGACTCGTTACGTTGAGTAGTTGCAGCTTCAGCGTAGCTGGTGCTTTTGAAGTAGAAGAGAGAGGGGGGAAGTTGGGTAGGGGGTGCTTTGTATTTTTTGATTTTAGTAAGCATGCATGATAAAGGATGCTGCGAGTCGAGTGACGAGACAATGAACCAACTTTTTGGAATAACCAAGAATCGCCCGCTTACGTACCATCTCCTTCGTGCGTTCGTAAAAAGATTAAAAAATTCCGCCAAAACGAAAAAAAAAATTATCACAAAACCACTACTCGTACAGTGACACCCATTCTTTTAAAATCCACTGATAAGGTACAGTCACGAAAGAAATTTTTTTTTTTTTTCAAAATTCTCAATAGTCAACGAAGCTAACCTCAAAATTTCACTCGTCCCTTATAAATTCTTCCAGTAGCCGCAAACTCCCGAAAAACCTCAAATCTCGTAGAGCCAATTTGCAACCGCGCCAATACCAACAATCCACCCCTGTCCAAAAATCGATGTATTATTTATTTATCGACAGTTGGCAAAACTAGTTTAGTCAGCATGCCGTCCAACAGGCAGCTACGAATGCTAGCATAATGGGCGATTGCGAAAGGAGCGTAGCGTGCAGTGTCGTAACTTTATCAGCGAAGGACAGCCTCGTGCACGGTCGCTGAACTGCAACAAGCCGAATTTTACAGTCGAACAGGAACAAGGTTAACTTTTTTTTTTTCTAACTTTGTCCGAACCTCGAATATACCATAACGGTATAAATAGTACAAAAAATTTCTTTCATTTATCGTCAAGATTTAAAATACGTTTTTAACAGTACACCCACAGTGTTACCAGTGTCTGGCCCGGTACTCACCGTTACTACTGTACAACCAACGGACAACGCAGGCTCTGACAATTAAAACAGTATTAAAGTACCCATATTCGTGAAGCGGCTTGTCCCGTTATAACTTTACATGTAAATCAAATAAATAAAAGTAATGCTCGGTTAAACGTCAGTTTCGTAGCCTATTAAATTTCCCTTACGTTTATTACGTGCACTGTCGATTAAACAATATTTTCTTTCTCATTACGAACTGTCATACTGAGTTTGCGTAATAACGATGCGTAAGAGGGTATACAGCAGTGGACTACGGTATGGATCTGTTGGCATGCAATTACCATGTGTTATATATATATATTTCTTTGTATATCGATACCTTAAAGGTACGTTCACACAGGTAGCAATTAATGTCGTTATTTACCGTGTATACATTTTTTTTTTCGTAGGATCTTGACTAATTGTTTAATTGTTTTATCGTATCACGCGTTAGCAGCCAATTACGTATAGACGGCCGCAAAAGTATTTTATCCTTATTTCACGAAATTGCGTGCAAGCCCCAAGGGATTCGAAACTGTTTACGTTACGCGTAAGAAAACCAACGCCCCGTTAAGAATGAAAAATATATATATCTAGTGTGCTTTACGATAACGAGCAATTACTTTGGCTCTGATGTACTTATTACATACGGTTAATAGGAGCCGCTGGCCTACGGGATATTTTACAATGCACGAACGCGCGTTCCTTACCGACTGCATGCCAAGCGAAGCCTTTACGCGCGTCTATGAAGAATTTTCTTTTACCCGAGTCTTCTACGCTGACCCCATACGTTATTGGCACATCGATACCGCCAACCACCATACAAATTAAGTGCTATTTAGCGGCTATCGAAAGGGAAGCTATACGGTCGTTCGCGATTGCATAAAGAAAAAAAAAAAAATTAGAGTACACGATGACGAGGACTGATTTGAATAATTATTAAAAAGAGAAAAAAAATTAAAGACAAGCACGCGAGCGTAATACAGTCCGATTAAAGAGACGATATGGACAACTGTCATTAAATCACAACAGCGTGTCAAAACAACGTGGTCTCGAGCCGTGTTATGACGTTTGACACTTTAAAAAATTTTTTTTTTCAAAATTTGAAAATCATCTTTTCTCAAAACACATAAACTGTATGCACTTGCCAGCATTTTCCCTGCTTCTTCTCGGCCCTGTAGCCGTCATTCTACATGCGTAAACGCGCGACGTCCGCGCACACGTCTCTTTTCTATACGCGTTAATATATATATATATAGGCATATGAGTGCGTAGCACGCGTGTATATCGGCCGGTTGGCAAGAACCCGGGGTGTGTTGGTAAGCCTGTATATCGGCGCGCAGTGCATGCACCTTCGTGAAGTGTGGGTGACGCCGATACTGATGTTGGCGCGTCAGTGTAACTGGGTCGCGGGTTCGACAACTTCAGCCAAGGCTGCCTAGTCAGTGACTCTCAACCGGCGAGTGCAGTTTTACCGTTGCGTTTATTCGTAATATGGAATTGTGCCCGAAATCAGGCATTTCAGCTATATAACGAGCAAGTACTTAACTAATGGATTGGGGTTAGAAAAGAAATCGATAGAAAGAGAAATACGGACTGACAGAAGGAATAACGAATAATCGATGTGGGGGGGAAGGGGGGCGGGAAAATTTTTATAAAAAAATATTAATTATCCGAAACTTTATATATTTCGATTTAAACTGTTTTACCGACCATTCAGGCGTACCGAGCAACGAACAACGTTTCGCGAGGGAAAAATCGAAAAACGACGTTGGACGACTGAGAATGTTCGTCGCTGCCAAGTTTCCTCGTGTTGTTTCATCTCGTGGCGATATTACATTGAGATATAGAAACAACTCATTACTTTCCTACGAATAGATTAGTCCTCACGCTTGTAATTAGCGATGTTAGAATTCCACTTTGCCTCAGAGAATTGTCATGACTGTTTTTCCTTCGACGAAGAATTGTTTAATTTTGAAAAAAAAATTAATCATTTACCAATCGATCGACGCCAATGAGAGAAGGGACTTACGGGCTTTTGTCTCTTTGTAAAATCCAAAATGACGACTGTGTCAAGCTTTCGTCTTACCTGCAACAGACGGAGAAAAATGGTTAGTGAGCGTTACGCGGTCGGTAAAAAAAATTATAAAGAAATTGCATTTACCGACAGAGTAATTACTAGAAAAATAGTGTGTATCAAGGTGCTCGGCCAAGGACCCATGTAATTTCCCTGATTCCCACTCATTAATAAGATTCGATGAATTTCATCGTGGCCACTCGTCCCAGGTTAAACCGAGTGTATCGCCGTGCGCGAAGTGACGTAAGCGAAAAAAACGCGGCTTATTGATTACTACAACGTGCTGTTCAATATGATGTAATCCTCCCACTGCTTATACCAGGACTTGTCTATAGACAATTTAGTCCGTTATCGTACATCATGTATAAATCATAGTACGTAAGGGGTAAGAAAGAGCACATACGATAGATACCAATATATTCCCTCTGTCTCTCGCGCCCACGTGTTATTAGGATGTAGGGTATTTTACGACTGAAAAAAAATTCCCTAGTCCAGGGGAAAAAATATAAATATTCCCCAGGCATCTCGTAACGAGCAGCCTCGTCGATAGAACAGAATATTTTCATTTCCGAACATCGATCCCGTGGGATTTACATTCGGTGCTTTATGTGCACGTAAAATGCGGATTCGCCTTAAACGAGAGAGAGAATAAAAATAATGTAAAGTTTTAGCGTGCTCGACAAAAAAAAAGTTTTGAATTTGGAAAATTAAAGGAAAAATGTACACAAAGTGCCCAGGTTGTGGCGCCTTTTCATGATAACGTTGTATGTATGTATAACCATGGCGAAATGCATTGCTGGTTGCTTTTCGTCGTTGTCGCGACGAAACTCCGTTGATTTACGTCGTTGTGTACCGCAGCCAGGCAAGGGCGACCTGCAGCCGGCGTCGCTCCGTTGCGCAAGAGAGCGACGATAATGGCGAGGAAAGGAAGAAAGAGGGGAAAGGAAGATGAAAAAAAGAATCGTAGAATATATATATATATATATATATATATATATATATATATTTAATCGTAGAATACCATATATATCTCTAGAGCGAGAGTCTCGCAGTGTGACAATGAAAAACACAATGCGCGTTATGTATGTCGAATGCATGTAAAATAAAATGCAAATAATAACTGACACATATATATATATGTATATCTACGAATTTACCAATATACTTTCCTAGTTACATTTTTCTAGTTCGAATAAAATTCACTAAGCAACTAGCATTTGATTGTGAACCGTCTAAGTAGGCAGGCCGGTACAGTATCGAGAAAACTGGATTAAAATGTAGCGAACGAGTCTTCCCGCGAGTATTGTATATACCTATAGGGGTCAGGTGTAGCAGGAATCGAAAAAGGCGCGAATTTTAAAAAGGATATAAAAATAAGCATAAGGGAACGTGGGCTACTTTGTAAATAAATTTCATCCCTTTCCCGATTACACCATCACTCCTAAAATTTTGATCAAAAAGCGCGCGAATCTTGCTTGCTTTTCAATTTCCCCGCCAATTTTCACGTAGACCATTCGCATTCGATCGTTCGAATCGTCCGATAACCATTCCAACCGAGCGAACACTGTTATTATCAGCACTGAGCGCCACTGCTATACGTTATCATAACATCAGCATGCCTGCCTGCATCTATCTATATTTCAAAGAGTTCGTGTGCAAGTATAGATGCGCGCCGCGCGCGACTAGATGTGTCATAGTGTGGCGTACGAATGTAAAATAAGCGAACTCGTCGCGGCGGGAAACGACGCGAGCGTTAAAAGCAAAAGCCGACAATTTTGTATGAACGGAAAATAAAAAGGGGAAAAAAAGCACCTACGTGCGGGAGACGTACGTGGTAAGGTAACGAAAAAAAATTTTTTTAAATAAGAAAAAAATTTTTGATTTCCCTGAAAATCCCAAAAAATTCAGGGATCACACGGACCTATCTATACTTAATGATCGTTGTCTTATCTGGTCGAAGCCATTAATAATTTTGGACAGATAAACAAGACAGTTTTTGGTCTTTTTGTAAATAATTTTTTTTAGCATTTTCGTCGCCCTAACCAAAAAATTGGTTAACGATACCGGTAACGGGAGCTTTGTTGAAACAATACGAAACTGGTATCATCGATTAAAGCCAGTTAAATAACGACTTAACCGCAACAACGTCCGCGATACTAATGACTGAGTTAATCCGTGTATGTGCATACGTTACACGTATATGAAAGCACCAGCGAATGCGTGAGCGAGCGAGTGAACGAGCCAAGTCAGGATCTTATGCAACGGCCGCTGGCTGCTAGGTTCCAAGTATGTAGT